TTTGAGAAATCCGTTAATCTCTGCCACTTCCCTCACTCTGCTCCTTCAGACTAGCCAGCAGCACTTAGCAAACACCTGGTGGAGCTGAGAATCAGCAGAGCTAAAACGAGTTACTTCTCAGTGAAACGTTGGTAAAAATGTTGTTAAAGGGTTAATTCATAGAGGAACCATGTTGTGACGACTTTCTGAAGGCGGAGTTTCAGAAAGAGCAGCAGGTTTTAAAGACACAGAGGCCCAATTTCAAGGTGTTAAATTATGACGGTCATATTTGATAGATACAATATTTTTAAAACACCTGAAGATAACAGTTACTTGACTGTGCTATGAAATGGTACTGTGTCTTTAAAACACATGACACTGCCCCTCTAAGACATCTTAACATCAGCGAGAAGATGGCAGGCTATCGTCATAGCTGCAATTCTAGCATGACGTCTGGAAACATTTACCCATTCCTTTTTGCAAAACAACTCAAGGTCATTCAGACTGAATGAAGAGACAGAGATTGAAAAAGGAGCTGAAAAAGCAAATGAGGTGGATTAGCAGTGTTTGCTAACAACAAATGGTTTCATTCAAGATGTGTTACAGTCGATTACTGTCTCCGCTGCCTGGTCGTTGAGCTGTTAGCATGTGATGAAGCTGCCATACAGCAAACGTGTCTTCATACAGAAACCTCTTCATGTTTGTTGGAAGACCGACTACGAACAGAAATCTTTCCTTTCACAGCAGTACCATCCACAACAACTCTATGTAGGTACTATTAGCATCCAAGTATCTTCAATGTTCAATATCCCCCCTTTGGGATCAATAAAGTATGTTTTTTTTTTTGACCTGAAATTAAATTAGCAAGTTGGTTATTTTTCCTTGTGTTGTGTTTTTCATGCAGGTCCAAGTGTTCAGTTTTGGTTTCATTCGACTGAAGTTCCTTCTGTTTAACTTATCAGGGCACAAACACCAAAGAACCGAAAGGAACATTCATTCAGACACATTTCCAAAGTTTCTACAGGGAATATTTTTCCTATGTTATTTTACTTTGTGGTACTTTGTTATGCCACTAGATCAGTCGCTCAAACTGCGTGTGAACAACTTTTATTTGCCGTTTTGTGAGCTCAAAGCGTACAGTTAGCTTACCAAAAGATTGCATTTTAAAATAATAATAGATAACTGGTTTAAAACCGGGTCACTCGAAAGAGAAGCCGAAGATATGGGTGGAAAGAAAACATCGCCAGGACTACTTATATTTAATTTTGCTTTGGGACAGACAACATATTTTTGAATTTGACAGGAGGAATACTTTTCAATACTGGGTGAGCAGTGCTGCGCCCCACGCTGACTAACTTCATCTGAATGCCTGAAGTAAAAATTATTTAGACGTAAAAGTTTGTCATTCTCATGACAATATGTGAAAAAGCTTTAAGGCGTGTGAGTGCTTTAGCCAAGCGCCGCAGTAACGCTGCAGGACTGAACACTTATTTAAGCCGCCTCCTGCCTTCCACCTGTGTTTTCCTTTAAAGCCTTGAGGTTCTGGAATGCGGTGAGGATAATAAGGATTTTTATTTTTCCTCAGCAGGAGGTACAACTTTGGAGGAGGCCCGTTTGAGAAACTACCAACGAAAGCGGGGGTGATTCTACACTTTACACACATACAGTCAAGTCAGTGAAATTCTAAACAGAGAGAAAGGGGAAAAAAAACTTGAATTAAGAGAAGCGGAAAAACATCCAGCGCCTTTTTCTTTTTCTTCTTTTTTTTTTTTCCCACGCTTCCAGGTCGAACTAGATCCTCAGTGAGTTAATCCGGCTGCTTTAGCTGAGCCTTTCCCAACCTCTGAAGGACGAAACACATGACTGCCGGAGGTTGGCGCGACTCACGGTTGTCCTAATGGAGTCAACAAATTAATAGACTAATTGAAACACACGCCGATCTCCTATTTGTAGAGCAATTTAAAAGCTTCGTGCCGGTTTAAGTTCCTGCAACCGGGAGCTAATTTATCCTCTCAAACTCAAGCCTCGGAGCTATCTGATCATTTTATAATCCTTCCTGCAGGCAGCTGTGGTGTTACTCAACAGGCAATTTCTGAGGACTCAGGCTGCACTAACTGGGGCCTCTCAACACTGCCAAGAACAACAGTGTGTGTGTGTGTGTGTGCATTACTGCAGGAAACATCTTATAAAGAGAAAAGCTCTTTTTGTTTGAACCTATTTGTTAATCTTGGTACGGTTCCCTTTGACTGCAGCGCTGAAGTGGATTGTGCAAGAAAAGAAGAAGAAGAAGAAGAAGGTAAAGATTCATTTGGCAACAGGAGGTCAGATTTGTAAGCTGGAGATGACAAAAGAGCAACTTTTAGAAGGAAAACCATATCAATTAAAATCGATTCTGCCTTTGATACCCTGACACGCCTTCGGTTGCCCCATCAGGTGAAATGTGATGTAATAATTCTTGCATAACCGGGGAAAGAAGGAGAGAGAAAGCTCAGCAGAAACGGTCAAATCACTCCCGGCGCCTATTCTTACGGGGTAATTAGCATTTCCAAGAATAAATCCATTGTTCATTTCTTTGTTCGCCCCACATTATCTACTTCTTGCCTTGAACCGGAGCTCCGAGTAAATCCAGAGCAAAAAAAAGAAAAAAAAAAAAAAGACTGCAGGCGGATAGATTCCAGCTCCCCGGCTTGAGGGAGCAAAGAATGATCTACATTGGGACACAAAGTTAGCAAAATACTCGATTAGCTTGTGGAGTGGAACTTTCTGCATACGGCCAAAGTTGGGTACTGACGTGCGAGTCTGCGACCCGCTGAACTCGTGGCCCCAGACTGCTGCGACGCTGAGCAGCAGCCTCATTATCACCTGGCAGGGAGGGGGACTGTCAAGTCACAGGCCAGCGCACTGCGGCAGGCAAATAGGTGCTATGCTATTATCCGAAACGCCTCGTGACAATAAAATAAGTCAGCGGCCCCCCGCTGGGCAGCATCCTTCTTTAATAACGTGCGATTATGTCTGACTGAGCAGAGAGCAGCTGTACTTAGAGGTAGAGCGGAGCCATTCACCCTACAGCAGGTGTTTGGTTAATGACGGCCACTGAGACTCTCCTCAGCGTTTCATTACCAGCTAATTATCACCTCTCCAGAACCTTCCACCACCGGCTCCGCCCGCCATCAACACTTTTCTCGGAGTTGCCCCTTTGTTTTGGCAACTCGAAATAAGATCCTGGTGTTTAATTTGATTGAAGTTATAAATACAGATTTTTGGGGAAACTCTCGAGAGCAGTCTTTCGACAGGTCCGTTTTCGCTCTCTCCTGCTAATTGAATTCAAAATCTTCGTGACATCAAGTTTTAAAAGTTGCACTTACAGGAATTTTACAGGAACTTATTATATGTGGGGGAAAAGTTGTTCTTTCAGTCACGATTTTTCAGTCTGTATACCGCAGTTCACGATTAATCGATAACTGATTATAAAGAATTTGAAACTATGCCATGGTAGAACATACTTACAAACAACTTGTTTTTATCTTCCATCTTAATTACAAAATGTAATTTTTTTTGACTTAAAAACTCATAAGTTGTTCTTTCATAAAATGTATTCTTTCGAGTCTGTACACTGTAGCTCACAATTGGTCAATTACTAAACCAGTTGACGATTATTTTAATAATCTATTCATCACAATTAATTGTTTCTGCCCTGTTCTGCTGTGGACATTTTACGGAAATACAGTATGAAAAAACATATGAAAACTGCTGGAATCTGTCTTATGAAAAAGCTTCCTAGTCATCTTGCGATTTTAAGAGACGGGGTCCATTCGACCCTGCATGTTTTTCATCCTGTATGGGGGGTTGGACTGACCTCACATGCCCTTTTATGAGGTTTTTTTGTGTGGTTTCAGGAACTGATTGTCTGACGGGACATCACCACTACTGCCTCCCTGATGTATGATCGCGACGTCTGCCGCTCTTCTCCTGAGTGACACGCTAAGACCGAGAGAGGTTTAAAGTAAAAATCACCTACTGCTCAGTTTTTTATTGTTTTTGGCCATTGTTATTATTAAGTGCTCCAGATTATGTAGAGTTGCAGGTTGCAGACACCTGCACTAAACTGACAAGTCAAAAAAAAAAAAAAAATGGTAGGCTTAATCTAAAGAGAAGCCAAGAGGCCAATGGTGACTCTGGAGGAACTGCAGCAATCCACAGCCCAGGCGGGAGCAAATATTTTGACTGGACAAACTACTAGTGTTGCAGTCAATAAATTTGAATTCCAGCAGGAAAACAACCCCACAGATAGAGCTATGATGTAAGGGTTTAGATCAGCTGTCTGGAACATTTCCAATCCGAACAGCCATTTCCCCCCTCGGTCCAGCTAAATAAAACTCAGAGACATTAATGTTACATGGCCCTTAATGAATGTCTACTATAGGATATCTGCTTCCTTTTTAAACAAAACACCATTTTATTTCCATTTTTGAGTTTAAAGCAAAAAAAGGGAAAAAAAAAAACTTTAGCCCAAAAGATTATACATACATTTTCTTATGTGGAAAATGGTGCAAAGAGAGTGGATAGCTTTGCGACTTAAATACAAGAAATAAACTGCATCTAAAGGAATATGACTGGTGATTTTTGGTGTCATTTTGTTGTGAGAATTACATTCAGTTACTCCATGAAAACACAGAGAAACTCCTGGAACCTGTATTTGTTATTAGAACTATATTTAACAGCATCAGTTGAATCTTTATCAGTTTTTGTCAGAGCCATTGCGGAAGATCTAAAGGGCCACTTGTGGCTCCGGAGCCTCAGGTTGTAGACCCCTGGTTTAAATCTAACTGAGCTAAAGCTATTTAAGAACAATAGGCAAGAAAAGACAGTCATGAAAATCTGGTGGAGAAATTACAGACTTTTGTGTTTGTTTGGTTTCTGGACATTACTTTATAGTTTAACCAAAAACAAGGGGGTAAACTTTAAGGTTAAGGAGGAGCCATCTATAACTCTATGTTTCAGTGGTGTTTAAGTTTGGATACCTTGAAGTTCACCGAGAGCTGTGGGGTGTACTCCAGAGTCCACAGAGCCCTCACCAGACCCGCCAGCTGCTCCGTAACTTCTCCCTTCACCGGCCGCCTCTCCTCAGCCCCCGGCCCGGTGCCTCTGCCCTGCCTCAGGTCCATCTTGTAGCGCTCCAGCCCCAGATACTCCGCCAGCAGGTCGGTGTTGCTCAGACACTGGACCACCGCGTTCAGGAAGCAGGTGTTCCCGTGGTTCTTCAGCCCCAGCACGCCCGGGACTTTGTCTCCATACTGGTACAGCAGCTTGTCTCTGCCGGCGCACAGAGACGAAGACGTACTCGGCGGGTGCTTCGCCGCGCGGTCCCAAACCGCCGCCACCACCGCCGCCGCTGGCGGCGCGTCCTCCCTGATCATCCCCGAGCTGGCGGTGAGGGTGCAAGGTGCGCCATCTCCGAACCCGCCGTCGTCGTCCTCCGCGTCCTGCGCGTCCCCGTCCCCGAAGTGGGTGAAAGTGCCCAAAGTTTTCATGATTTTGTTCACGAAGCTTCCCACGGACTTGAGCGATTTCTTTCGGAAAAGCTTCCCGGATTTGGTTTTCCTCTCTTTGCGCTTCTCCTCCTTCGTGTCCTCCTTGACTCTGCTTTGTTTCTCCATGACAGCGAGCCCCCCACCTCTCTCTCTACTCCGCCGTCGGTCCGTCCTGACGCCGATGATGGTCGTGCGAATGCAGACGCCGGGGTGTCATTTTTCTGCCGGTGTCCCGGTGCGCGGACGCGACACCTTCTCGGAATCCGGACGCGGCAGCGCGGCGCGGCGTTATTCCACAGCCCACTGACCCAAAACCTCCCTCATCCATCCCGACACTTACTCGAAGCGTTCATTCCGACTCTGGCGGCGCTGTCACAGGCAGTCCAGCTGCGGCGCCAACTTCTGCAGGAAAACACACACACACACACACACACACGCTGAGGCTGTGATTGCGTTGGGGCGGCTGTCTCCTCCCACTTTAAAACTACAGCGGAGATAAGAGATCCAGAATAGTCAATTTATGTTTCATTTATCTGTTTTTCGAAGATTCAGGATCCGTGCATGTTTTGGCAACTGGGATTTCTTGTAATAAATGAGAAATAATAATAATAATAATAATAATAATAATAATAATAAAACTTTAAAATACAAAAGGTTCCATTTAAATTCAAGTACATTTTTTCATATTTAAAATCAAAATCATACGCAGATGAAAATGGAAAAGTCCCCAATACAAGTTCGGCATCCTTCATTACTAATATATGGTGAAGGTGACTGTTTGACCCAATGACCTAACTAAAAAAAAAAAGAAGTCTGTCCAAAAATGCAAGACGTGTTTATTTTATGCACGTTCTGTTCCTCTTCATGCGTTTCATGATGGAGAAGAAAAAAAAATACATGGGACAACATCTTTGAGGTGTCAAACAGCGCCTCCTACAGTCACAAAATATAGTGTTCACCCGTTTAGAAATCTTCAAAACAAATACTCTTTTCTTTGTTTTAATAATGTTGAACAGGAAAACGTTTAAAAAACAATTTTAACGGGCGTCATCACATGTAAAACACAGGACAAACAACAACACACACACACACACACACAGGCGCGCATACACTCAGACTTACTGTGTTTCTGGAATTTGGGAGGGAGTAGCAGTACCTAAAGACAACCTCTAGGAGGCCATTTAGCAGATGTGTCAAAACTCCTCCAACTTTTAAGCCCCGTCTCCACAAGCATAACATTGAGCACGAGCGATTTAAATGGCAGCAAACTGCAAACACTGATTGGGCCGTGGAGTCCGCGTCGAGACCGTAGTAGTTGACGAGAGCAGAAAGAGCATATCGATAATTTCATGGTCAGACCTTGAAGTCCAACCTTTATATCAATTGTGGAAAAAGAACGAGGGTTGCTTCGAGAATACGCAGCTTGTATCCTCCTGCGTCAACCGCAGGACTGAGTTAGCCTGGTCTAGGTGAGCTACTTCTTCTACTGACATGAACAGGCATTTGAACACTGATACCACCTGGTGGCCGGTCACGTGCCTGTCAGTCAAACATGAATATACTGTAGTACAAATCTTTTTACCAAAATGTGTTTCTAAGAGTAGTTTTAGTCTTTCAATTAAACTACAAAAGTGTATTTAGTTCCGCATTTTAGCGGCTGGAATCAGTGCTTTATTTTTTGGACAAACATTATTACATCATGTTCTCTGTTTTGATAAGGAACAGAACCTCTTGAATGTGAAAGCATGACTTCAGTAACATTTTAGCCTTATAACCGTTTGTTCGCCATCACCGTAGAAAAAACGCAAAACATGATTATTGTTGAGAAAGTTATAACTGAAATGATCTTATGTAATATTTACATTTTCTCAGATATTCAGTTTCAATTTTATTTTTAAAGACTTTAAATATTTCTCTCTATGTGTAATGATGAATCAATATAATATGAGTTTCTCCTCCTGGAGTGAAAGAAAAAATATTGAACTTTTCTTTCTTTCTTTTTTTTACGACACTAATTTATTTAGATGTTCCTTATATTTTTGCATATGTCACTGCACTAATACTGTCTAAAATGGTTATAAGTAGCTCCTTGCAGGCACTCCTCGTCCCGACTTGAAGACAGAAAGAAAGAAAAAATAATAATCTCTAGTTTTCTCAGACTTTATAGACAATCGGCAGCCACTGAATTTTGTAGCCTTAGGTTAGGATTTCTTCCAATTGTGAAAGAAGGAACAAAATGTCTAGAAGATAAACCATCTCCAGTGAATGTGTGTGTAGGTGTGTGTGTGTGTGTGTGTGTGTGTGTGCGTGTGTGTGAGTGAGTGACAGCAGCTGCAGCTTCAGAGAAATTTCATTAGCTAAACCTCGGAAGAGATTTATCACAGGTTACAATGTTCTGGATTATTACTCTCATTACCGGGGCCTTGATTTTAAAGAGGGCTTATCTCTGCACTCGCCGCATAGATACGTCTAATAACACATGGGTTGTCACATATTATAATATTAAAAACTCTGGATTTATGGCAGCGGTGAGCAAAAGCAATAAAGCTGATTCTCTCGCTTGCTGCTACAGTGAGACAGGCCCCCCTTTTTTTATATATATATATATATATATATATAGAAAAAGCCTCGTTCTCCTTCGTTTAGAGCTGATGATAAGGTGAAGGCACACGGTTGTTTGTGGAGTGGGAAAACAATCCTAACCAGGAGGGCAGGTTTCAAAAAGAAAGGAACTCAATAGATCGCGTTAGCGGAGAGAGCCGACGAAAGGCACTCGGAGAAGTTGATGGTTTGTGTAGTGGGCAGAGCCGGCGTTTACCTCCCAAAGGCAAACAACAATCATCTCTCTTACGTATTATTTACCGAGCCGCCATGCCATCTGTTTATGCAGCCAGACTGTAATCAGGGAAAAGACAATATCTATTAAATGCTCCAGTAGGGGATGAACACGTGTTGCCAACATCAAGTCATGGAAAATTCCAAAAATAGCTATTAAAAGATCTGCTTTTGTTCATGTGTAAAAAAGTAAAAAAAAATCCACCCATTTTTTTTTTTTATTAAATTTGCATAATCACATCTAGTTGGTGGTGTAACATCCACATTAAGAAGTAATCTTTAAAACACAAATAAATCACTGCTCAAACATTGGTGTCCCAATAGGACGACCTTTTCTGAAGCTTAGAGCGTCCCTCTTTGCACAATGCTCTCCTCTTGTTGGGCCACCTTAAATAAAGATAAAATAAAATGTTTTGTAGGTTGAAGACGGTTGATTTTGAGTTTATAGAGCCACTTTTGTCTATTCAACCCATTTGAGTTGTGATTAGAGGTGAGCGATACTAATTTTATCGCGATAATTTGGTGTACTGTTGTAACAATTAAAATTCTGACAAAGAAAACAACAACGTTTTACTACTTACTTTTAGGTAACTGTAGTTGCTCACATAGCGCCACAGACACAAACACTATGCTTGAAAAATATTTCGAACAGGCATATTCAGGACACCACGTCACAAAAAAAGTGTGATTTATATCACCAAACTGCACACAGTAATATTTTGCACTTTATTAATGCTCTTGTGGAACTAAAAGTGGAGAAAATGGTAAGAATAACCTTTTTTTTATAACAGTGTCAGTTCTTTTCTTTTAAAAAAGCTGATGTCACAATAAGACAATAATGTCTTATTGTGACATTCTTATCACAATAAGAAGTTTTTCATGATAAATGATAAACGAAATTCTGCTGCATGTTTTCATGTTTCCCTAACAGGCTGTAGTTAAATGTGAGAATTTGTTCTCAGTCAACTTAACTGGTAAGATAAAAGTTAAATTAAAATAACAAATATGGGACTCAAAATGCAGGCAGGAGAAGGGCAAGGACGTGACAAAAGCAGATATGTATAATAATATATCAAGATGAAAAGTCTGGCAATGCATGGAGCCTATTGCAAGATGATCTGACAAATGATTTTGGGAAAAGAGCAGGTCTGCATGTTGGGAAGGTGATTGAGAACTAAAACTTTAAAAGCAAAAGCGTCAAAGAATGCCGACATATTTGAAGATAAACCTTTATAGAGCTCACAGCAGGGCAATTTTATTGAAAAAGTAGTTTATAACAGAATGAAGTGATAGAAAAAACACATTAGGCTTCAGGAAACCAAAAATAAGATTACATTTCAAATGGTTATTCTACATCAATCCAATTTTTGCACATTTTTAATTTAAAGATAGAGTAAGGATGATTTATATTATTCATCTCAGATCTGCCAATTGGAAAAAATCCGTCTGATTCAACTGGATTTTATTTAGTGAGAACAGAGTAAAAAGTGACTGAACCCCAAGCAGACAATTTGCTTTCTCCAGAATTAGATTTTTCCTTTTGCTGGTCCATCGCATTAAAACCAGGAGCTTCTTTTGCGGCTTTAACGAGTCAAGAAGTGGCCGAGTTAAAAGGCTGCGACCACATTAGCAAAGCACAGAAAAGAGTGGCGATTTCTGCTGCACACACAATCTAAATAATTACAGCTCGATTTCTCCGCTGTGGCCTAAAAGTTTAGAAGTGTTTTATCTATAAATGGAACTCGAATGGTAATTTGCTCCTCTCTGCAAATAAGATGTCATCCGAAAAGATAAAGTAGGCATCAGAGACCATCTGGTAGCCTGAGTCATACCCCGCCTGCTTGGCGAACAAACACTCTGTTCATCAACAGAACAATGCCCCAACGCCGTAACGCCGTGTTTTATACAGTGTGCAAGGAAAATGTGGAGATCAGACTGGAGATATGCACAATAAATTGTTTGTTCTTAAATATCCGTAGCTCACCAAGTAGCTTGTCTGTTTTAATTTGCAGTGAAACTGATGTGCAGTAGAGCGTCAGCGCTGTCAAATCAACAGCAGAAAAGCAGTTTCACTATGAAAAGTCTGCTGTTTAATTAAAATTGCGTAAACTGCTACAAATGAATCACTGGTACTCATGGCACAACTAAAGATGATTTAATTTCTGAGAAATATGGATTACTTAGTGTAAAAAGTAAAGAGTCTTCAAAAAGGGATCATTTGAAAGTGCTAAGTGGCTAATCAAAAGTTCAACGAGGCTTTTCTGAAAGAACATCCTCCATGAAGAGAAATCACAACTACAGAAAATGATGACAGATTAATTAGCATAACTACATATTTTATAGTTAAATAAAACATCAGTCTGTTGCTTTTTGTGACTTTTTGCACACTGCAAACTAAAAGGACGCCAAATAACGCCACAGAACGGTTGGCTACGACATTAGCAACACGGGTTTTGCTAATTATATTTCGTAGCAGTTTCATAAAATGTGAAAACGTTGAGCACAGTTTTAAGAGTCGTTTAAAGAGTAAAACCTTTGGAATATTCCTTAGAATACATAAAAGATTAGCATAACACACACATTTATAA